GCGGCTGGCGGGGCCGGGGCTGGCGGGGCTGGGCTCCGCTCCTCTGCGGCCGCTGTCTGTGCGGGAAGTGCTGCATCCTATTTCAAGGCGCCGGCCCCACCTCCCCTTCGGCCAGGGCTCTCGCCGCAGCCAATGGAGGCTGGTGAGACCCTTCAAACAGAGCCCTGGGCCAATGGGCAGGGCTGGAGATGGCTCTTTGCATGAGAATAGGCCAGGGAAAGAAAGGAGCACAGCTCCAGTCTGCTGCCAGGCTCCCTCCCTCCCTGCCTCTCTCCACCCTGGCTCATTATCCGCCCTTTCTCCGTGGCCCTCAGCCAACGGCCCCTCCTCTCCATCACCTGCCCTATTCCCCCGGGGACCCCGGCTGACCCGTGCCCTGCCCTGCAGGTGCCGGCCACCCCCAGACATGCGGAGCCGGCTGCACCCGCCACCAGGGGCCCAGCCTGCCCTCCCCTCCTTCATCCTCCGGAAAGGGGGACTTCAAACCAGCTGCCGGGACCCCCTTGGACCTGCCCCCGGGGCTCACAGCCTGCTGGAGACATGCACCCTTATCCCAGGGCCGGTGCCTTCCCTCCAGGCCCTTTAGCCCCCTGCTCCCATCCCACGGGCCAGGGCTGGAGGATCCCCGGGAGGATCTCAGGTGGGTGCCCCAAGGTCTGTGCAAAGCTCCAGACACTCCCTGCAAGTCACCAAGTGACCGGGGGGAGCAGGGGGAGGCCGTGCCACCTGCCCCCAGTGTGCCCTCTCTTGAAGCAGAAATGTCTGCAGCTTTGGCTACTGGTACCCCAGCACCCACCCTGTCTCGCTGAGGGCAAGACGGGGCTCTCCAGAAGACGTGGCACGCTGCTAACAGCCCCTGGCAGTGGGGAGGTTTGCCCCAACCTGCCCGCCAAGGGCGCCGGGCTGCACCCAGGCACACGCCTCTCCGCGCCCCCGCCGCCCCTTCCCGGATGCCTGGTAGAGGCCTCCCAACCAGTCGGACCTGACGCCCGGGGAGAGCTCGCCCCGTGGGCGGGAAGACGAGGTTCGAGGTGCCACAGAGAGCTGCCGTCCGCCGGCACGAGACGGGTGCGGGGAGCAGCATGCAGAGCTGGCACCTGGAGGAGGTCCGACAGGGAGGAGGTGCCTGTGTGCTCACCCCGGGAGAGCGCTGGAGGCAGACCCCACGAGCCCCGGCCTGCCGAGGGGTCCAGGGGACCGCGACTGTGCTCAGCCAGTGCAAGCCAGACCCCAGGCAGCCGGTCGCTGCTCCGGTCCCCCCGTCCTCCCAGGTTGCTCTGCCCCTGCAGGCCCCCAGTGCTGGGGAAGTCAGGTTGCTTTCACATTGGGCAGGCTCCTAACGTCAGCAGGTTGCTTCATCCTGGACCATCCCCGCTGCGGGTTGTCCCTTCCCACCCCAGCTGCCCCCGCACCCTCCAGGGCTGCCTCTGCCCTTGCAGCCGAGCCAGGGGATTCCCGGGCCCCGGCCCCCCGCTCTGTGCCCTGCTGCCCTCGCACTCTGAACCCTGATGTTTGCACCCGAGCCGGCAAAGGAGACGGCAGAGAGGCCGGCCGGCAGCCTCTCAGCGCTGCCCGCCTGAGCCCCCTCCGCAGTCTGGCATGGACCCTAGGCCAGGGGGAAGGGGAAGGGGCAGGCAGATGGCAGGTCACTCACCCTGTGGCCTCCCCCTTGCTCCAGCAGCTGCTCCCGGGAGCTCCCTGCTTCCCTGCAGCAGGGAAGGGCTGGCCCACCTGCTTGCACCACTTCCTGTTTAGACTCAAACAGGGAACACCTTCCCGGCCAGGTAGGGCAGGGCCAGAGGCAGGACCCAGCAAGGCAGAGCAATGGGCTGGCACCCAGAGGGCTCCCAGCTGCTGCATGGGAGGGCAAGGGCCCCTGGGCAAGGAGGGGGCCTGCCAGCCTGGCCCCTGCTGCCCTCGTCCCCTTCTCCCCAGGGGCCCGGATACAGCTGGCCAGGCCCCTGCATAGACATCCAGGGCAGGCGGCGTGATGGACGGATGGACAGATGGACACGGGGGAGTCACTGTGCACCGTCATGCAGAAGCTGGCTCTGAGCACGCAACACTGCCCCTGGCCCTACCCCCATCTGCTGCAAGACACTGGGGGCATGGACGTGCAGGGAGAGAGGCAGTCTGGCCTCCAGGGCTGGGGTGTGGGCCTTGCCCCCTGCCTCCGGGGCGGGCAGGCAGGCAGGTGCCCCTGCCCCGCACTTCTATAGGGCGCAACCCTGCTCTGCCCTGACTGGGCTCCCAGGCTTGGCACCGAAGGTACTGCCAACACGGTCTGGGAGGCCAGCGAATACAAGGCAACTCTCACACACCCACTGCATCAGGACTGGGTCCCTTGCCCCTGGTGCCCTGTGCTGGATGGCAAGTCCAGGATGCAACAGCTATTCCTCAGCCAGCCCTGGGGCACAGCTGAGAGCACGCAGTGGGGGGCCATCTCTGCTTTTAGGGCACCCCTCAGCTTTTCCCCCCACCCATTTCAAAGACTTGTGACCCCCACCCCCCCTCGCCTCCCCTGCAAAGCACTGTCTCCACTGAAACAATAGGCTCAGCTGAGGTGCGAGCCCCGGCTCCCAGTCACCTGAACCCGGCTGCCACTTCAAAGCCCAGCAAGGGCCTGATAAGGTTATGAAGCAAGAGCTGTGGAGGGATCAAACACGCCCTGCAATAGCCACCCACCCACAGGGATTATCTTTATGATGCAGCCCCTCCTTGGCTCATTTTGTGCTGAGATTTGGGGGCTTTTCAGCTGCATCCAGACAATGGGGTGACTTCCCTGCTGACTCATCACCGGGAATCTCCTGGTTCCTGCACAGCCCATCCACCTCCGGGATGCCCTTCAGGCACAGCTAATCCAGCTGGATGGATCTGGTGTGAAAGAGCAGTGCCCGAGCCTGAAACAGGGGTACAGAGACACTCGTCTCCACCAACACGGCTCTCTCCGGGCCTCTAGAGCTGCCTCCCCAAGTGCAATAAAGACCAAGACTTCGTGTTCTTGCGAGCATGGCGGTCAGGATTGGCAAAACACTTACCGACCCAGCACCGTGCGGCTGCACGAATGCAACCGAGCACGAAGGATTTTGTTGGGGATGAGGTGCAAACCCCAGCTAGGCTCCCAAGCTCAAGGTGCTGCTCAGCTCGGGGAAATCATACGCTGGCTCCTTCCAACTCTTTTATCTTTCAGACCTGGCCGGGGGAGCTGGGCTTCCTGCGGTTTTGGACAAGGCTCCACACAGCGAGCTGACTGACCAGGGCACCACAAAGCAGATAGCCCTCCTTGGAGCCTCCGTGTTGCCTCCCCTGCTTCATACCCTGGGTGATGGGAATGCCTTGCAGCTGCGCTGGCTAATGCTCATCACCTGGACACACTTGCTCATGCTGGCGTGTGGTTTGAGCTGCCCACAGGGATCCCAGTTCAGGGCACTGCCAAGCCCAGCCCTCTTCCCTGCATCAGAGAGCAGCCAAAAGTCCCCGGGGGGATTCCTCCCAGGTCGGGGCTGCTCCTTTAGCTGCTGTTTGCAAAGCTAACCCTGTTTTGACTCATCTGGGGGTCCCCCGGGCTCTGCCCGAAGGCAGCCACAGCCTCCAGCAGAGAGGAGCCGTGCCTCCACAAGAAGCGTGCCCAGCCCCACTCCAGGGCACTTCCCAGCCTGCCCCCCCACCCCACAGCCAGGCAGGACCAGGTCTCACCCAGCACACCGGGAAAGGAAACCCCGCTGGGTTCAGGGGCCTGGCCCCACATGCAGACCTGCCCCCTTGGCTTCCCCCCTGCCACACAGAAGCTGCAAGCTGGGGGTGCAGGGGGGACCCCCATCCTGGGACAGGGGGTCTGCAGGTGACCGGCTCCAGGGGAGGGGATCGGGGCCCAGGCTCACCGGGCAGCCACGGCCGGGGGCTGCGGGCAGCGCAGCCTTCACACCTCCTTCCCACTGACTCCGTTCCACGAACGGCGCGCGGCCGAGGTCGCTAGGCGACCGCCGCAGGGGACTTTGTGAATGGAGGCGGCGGGAGGATTTCCTAAGAGCCTGGCCCCATTTCCCCTCCAGTGCTGGGAAAGAGAGCCCCCCGGCACGGACCCTGCTTGCACCCGGCGGTGAAGTGGGGGAGCACTGCTACCCCTGGGGCTCCTCCATGAGCCCCCTTATTACCGCAAGCCCTGCCCCCATGCCTTCCCCTGGCAGCCTCTCCAAGGGCCGGGGGCTGTCGGGGACGGGGAGGGCCTGGGTTGGAGACGCCTTCCCATGTGCTGCTGGTTCCTGACCCAGAAAGAGCAGCTGCTGCGAGTCCTGGACGTGCCAGAGCCCCTGGGCAGTTGTGACTGGAGCTGGGGTCCGACACGGGGCCGCAGGGGGTGGGGGGCATCCTAGTTTCTCCCTGCCCAGCCTCGCATGCACAGCCCAGAGCCCGGGGCGGGCATCACGGATGTCATCACCGAGTCGGGAGGAGAAAGGGCATCTCCACCTTCGCTGGATCAGGGCTAGTGAGTTGTGGGGCTGGATCCTGTCGCCCGGCACTGGCTAAAGGGAGGGGCTCGGTCTTCTGCACCCCACAACGGTGCGCTAAAGAGAGCAGGGCCAACCTGGGCAGCACAGAGCAGGGGGTCGTGGCCGCCCACCGGCTGTCAGCCTGGGCTTGGGGCTGTGGTTGCTGCACGAGCCTTGCAAGAGAAGATACCCCCCTCCCTGCACCCCCAGGAGCCCCCTGGCCACGCACAGCTGCTCCGGCTTTGCACCAGAGTCCGCGATTCAGCTGACAAAGCAAAGCAGTGGGATGGAAACAACCCCGAAACTGGTGTCTCTGCCAAGTGGGACAGGGAGTTGA